ATTTTTTTTTTTTTTTTTTTTTTTACACCAGGGATCAAACTCAGGACCTTGTGCTTCTGAGGCAGTTGCGGTGCCACTGAGCTAAATCCCTGGCCCCAGAATATGTTTTCAAGGAAAGTAATACTTTCAACAAGATAATGGGTAGACTGTAAGGCTTACTAGAGAGAACCAATAGATAAATGAGTTGGAGAATTACTGATAGGGAACAACAAAAAAAAAATGATACATAATATTCTAGGCAGATTATTAAAAATTTAAAATATAGTTTCCAATTCAGAAGCAATTTGAAAGATAATAGAGTTGAATAGTCAAATCAGTTTGTCGTCTTTTAAGGTGACAAAACTATATGTAAAGGAAATAATTTTTTTTTTCTAGTTTGTCACTATGTAAGAAAAAATAAGCATCGTTGACTTGTGTAGCATCTGCTTCAGGGTGTTGGCGCAGTGCAAATTAGCTCAGTTACTGCTAATGGATTTTTATTTTGGCATAAAATGACAGTCGCAGGGCCGGGATTTAGCTCAGCGGTTCAGTGGCCTGCCTCCCAAGTGCAAGGACCCGAGTTCAATCCCCGGTACCAAAAAATAATAATAATAATAAATAAAATAAAATGACAGTCATAGTTAGAACTGTTAATACATTGACATAGATTATTATTTGGGACAACAACTAGATTCTCCTTTTAGGATAGATACTTTTAAATATCTATCAAGAAACACAGTTTAGAATGGATAACTTAGTTGTGATTGACCTATGAGTCATCATTCCTAGCAGTTTTTAATGTGGCTTTGTGAACATTTCCTTACCTCCTCCAGGCAAGGAGTAGAGAGCTAGACCAGATCTAGATACTTTAAGTATGAGTTTCAGAGTGCATACGGCTTTGTGGTACACAGTAAAAGAATTTAGCACATATGAAACCTTTGGTCACAAGCATTCATGCCATCAATCCCATACTTACGTATGCTGCCTGTTTTTATTGTTTGACAAATGCGGCAAATCCTAAAAGAAAGAATATCCATTATCCAGCCAATATCACCGAGCTTCTACCATATTCCAGGTAATGCTCTGGAATTACAGCAATGAGTCTTTGTCCTCATAGGAAAGGCAAACAAGTAAGTAAAATCATAAATATATAATACATTAGAAGACCAAAGAATCTGTGAAGAAAAGAAATCTGAGGTCCCCTGAAAAGTGTCATTTGAGTGAGATGGGCAAATCATCTACATGTGACAGTTGAGAAAATTGATGTTTGCCCAGTAGTAAGTAAGTAAGTGGTAGGGCTGGAACTTGAATCCAGGTCTATTTCCTTGCACGGCCTTACATACTGTTACTGCATCACACTGTAATGTCAGTGTGTTTTGACCACTTGGTCAATGAGATTTGATGGTAAGAAGCAATAATTGAAAAAAAATATCAGATGGATTTGCAAACATTCAAGTGGAAGGGATCCCAGTGGACTCTTGGCCAACTTTCAAAATAACTTATGCCAGCTAGAGCATAACTATGCCCTTCTGTTGAAAACTGCCTGCTAAATTCAGTATACTGTGGGTGTGAAATCACAATATGTATTTTTAGAATATTTAATTTTTCTTTGCAGATAGGCTTTTGACTCCTAGCTTATTAAGAATTACTCACCTTTCCAAAATGTTTTCCCATTCATGCTAACAGTATCCACAAGCCGCTATAATTATAGTGTCTCTGGTTTGCATCCCTTAACTCATCCTTTAAGTTCACCTGAAACTCTCATACATCCTAAACACTTCTCATAGACCTGTCATTTCCTTTACAATGGCTCCATCCACTCTTTCTCCTCTCCGAGTCTCTTCTCAGCAGTGCTTAGACTCTTCTCTATTGCTGAACTTGTCTCTCCACTCCTTCCTCATTTTCACATCAGTTTCCACGCAGCCAGTGGAGATACAGTGCTTTCGTCTCATTCTAGCAGTAATCTTAGCCGTAATGATGGGATCTCCTTTACATCTCCCCTTCCTGATTCATTAAGGGTGGACACACTGAAAAAGCAGGAGAGAGGGGGTATAACTGTTGGAACAAAGTATGTGAGGGGCTTATAAGGGCTGGCATCCAGTGAGCCAACAGACACTGGCCTGGAACAGAGCAGAGATTGTCCCTCTAGCCTTTGACAGGTAGCATAATAGATCTGATAGGGAAAGGATGAAGAGGCAGACTTGGAGAGATTAAGTGACTTCCCCGAGATTATACAGCTACTAAGAGCCAAAGTCAGGATTTAAGCCCAGGGTTACTTTAGCTTGTGCTCTTGACACCTAAGCTAGGCTGCTCTCTAATTTATATACGAGCCGATTTAGTCTAGACATAGTTTATAAGTAATAAACATCTAATTATGAACAAAGCATTTCACCCTGGTTTCCTAAGCATTCTTTACATTATTTCACAAATAAGGATTAGATAAAAGTTCAGTGAATTAGTTGTCCAGAAATGTCCAGACAGCTAAGTAGGTAAACTAGTTAAGGCCCTTCTCTTGGCATGGTATCCCCTGTCAGAAATCTTCAAATACCCTTCATTATTTCATTGAGTGACACACATGGCATTTGGGTCCCTTGGGATCTGGCTCTCTAGCTTATCTCATTACTTTTCTTCAAACTGTTCCCCATTTCTTAGCTCAGTCTATGTAGGAAGTCAGTAGAAATGCTGCTAATCCTCGAAGGCACCATTCCAATTGCTATCATTTCGAGGAAAGCTTCCATCGCCACACCAGGGACTTTTCTTTGTTGCCATTGCCATTTGTGCTTGTATACAGACAGCACTTACACATTTCATCTTATTTTATAGTATGTGGCTCCTACACTGTATAAATAAGAACTCACTTGTTCATATTTTTCTCTTCTACAATGCTCACATATAATAGGTATCAGTCTACTGTTTTGTTTTGTTTTGGTGCTGGAGATTGAACCCAGGGCCTCAGGCACGCTAGGCAAGTGCTTTACCACTGAGCTTTATACTTCTACTCCCTAGTGTTTGGTTATTTCAAATAAGCATCTTTAGGGCCTGGGATTTAGCTGAGTGGTTCCGGTGCCTGCTTTGCAAGTGCAGGGACCCGAGTTCTATCCCTGGTACCAAAAAATCAAAAAACAAAAACAAACAATCAAATAAGCATTTTTATATCAGCCTTTTTTGCTTTCTAACCTCATTCTCCAGTTCATAAATATACTGCATGAATTGGATAGAAAAGAGCTAGGAAATGGTCTAGTTGCTTCTCCGGCATGACAAATATCTTGGAAAATGTGACAGTAGACATAATTCAACTTTTCTAGGTAGATTTTTTATTCCATGGAATTATATACACACCAGAGCAGAATAAAAGGAAGAATCTTTTCTTCCTTCAGGAGACAGCTGGTATATAGGCAGTGGGAGCTTATGCGCTGATTAATCAAATCCCACAGAGGCAAAACACTCTAAGGAGGGAGAGTTCTGCCTATACATGAAGGGAAGAGAGTTCTGAAGAGTTTCATTGATCCAAGGATTAGAAAGTTGGAACTGGAGGACAGGGAGTAGGAGTCTGGTTTGAGCTGCACATGCTAGCCTTTGTTTACCTCTGGTGGCTTACTAAGGGGCTAAAGAGGCAGACAGAATGATATATGACCCTACCTGGGACTTTTAAAGGGAGTTCTTTCTTTTTTATACTGCTTTTTCCGCAAATCCTTTAGGGCAACACAAAGCTTTTATCTTGGTATAAAGTAGTTAAGCCAGTCTGACCAGCTTGAGGGAAACACCAACAAGACTGCCCACTCCAATCACATGAAGTCTAGTTACTAATTATCTCCTGGCCTCAGAGGGGAAAGGTGTAGTAGCTCACTGATTGGATCCTGCCTTTGAAATGACTCCACATTGCTTCAAACTCTTAACTGGAACAACAGGAAGAATGTTTCCTGTGCTTTGGGAGACATTTTAAGCAGGACGGATTCAGCCTTAGGCAAGACTGCACCTGTCTGCTTTTAGGCCCAGCCCAGACCCATGGAAAAGAGAAGTAAAACTCATGTCTATTGGATATGAGTGGAATTAATGAGATTAGAAAAGAAAGCGAAGTGGAAAACAAAGGGCTTTGGGCCTCTAGCTGGGAATATGAAGACTACAGGAATCTCCAGAACAGAAATCTTGCAGTACTGGATGAACTTCATGCAGAAAAGGACTTGGATTCCACATTCCAGGCCAAGAGGCAGAGTCGGCCCTACAGAAAAAGGGATTGTGGATACTGGGATTTTGAACGGAGTGAACCAAGCTCTAATGACTGTTGGGAAGCAAATGAAAGTGGAAAGGGCTTTATGTCCCAAGGAGACTGTTATGGCTATAGGAATCCAGAAAGTATAGATCATGGGAGTCTGAGGCCTGGGATGAAGGATGATTGGTTTTTAGGAAGCCCAGATGTGATTGGAGAAAATGGGGGATATAAGAAAAAGAAAGGCTTTGTTCATCCTAAGGATCTGAATTATAATCCTAAGGACTTGAACAAAACTGAACAGTGGAGTGGCTTTGCAGGTGTGGATGATTCTTCAGGGATTCTATATCAACCTCAAAACTGGAATATGGGCCACAGGAATTTTAATCATAATACTGAGGATTGTGAAGAAGTTAACTTATATTATAGAGATCTTAACAATTTATATTATGTTCCTGGAAGTAGTAGTAATGGTCAGTCTGCGGACTTTACAGGTTTGAATGGTGCCAATGAAAGTAAAGAATCTGTTAAATACTATGAAGAGGAAAGGAATGCTTATCAAAATGGCGAAATCTATCCTAAAGTAAAGACTCACACTATGGATCAGAGTAATTCTGATACAGAAAACAAAGGCTGTGACACTTTCTTTGCAAACTATGAGTCTAAATCTCCTAATTACAGAGGAACAGATTCTCTTCATCAGGTGGGGAATTTGAAGTATAATGGCATTGACAAATCTGGAACGGCAGCACTTAGCGCGAGAGGGATCATCCTGGATGGTCTACAGCATCACTGCCCCAGAGAAGGGCAGGGAGAACATCATTTCGGGATTCCTCTGAGCCCTGTATTAGAGAAGAGCACACGGCAGTTAGAAGAAGAGAGCACAAGAAGTGGCCCAGAGATCTGGAGAAGGAATAGTTGCTTCCGCCGCACCGCACCCAGCACCCTGAGGCGCTCAGAGTTTGTGCAAAACAGGAAGAAACCCCAAGGTAAGAACTTAGCTGGCCTTCTGATAGGATACACATGAAAATTAATGAAAAGGGTGGTTATATTGGGTACGAGGAACTCCAATGTGCTGAAGGAACCTGCCCCCCTAAGTTCTTATCAAAGGGATCTTAGTGACAACAGTCTTTGAGATGTGATTCCTTTGTGAGGCATTTTATAACAAGAGTACACGTAGTGCCATAAGGATGTAAGATAGCTTTCAAAATCAGACAGCTCTTTCCTGGGAAGTTTACTCTTCTGGGTTTTGTCAGCTCTACCATCTTGACATTCTTTTCATTCTTACCTTAGCATTTTTATCTTGTGGGGATAGCAAGTTATAAGGGCACAAAAGTACGTGTATTTTCCTGGCGTGTTTCTTTTTCTCGGTCCCTATGCTTCTTTAGATATTAGTGGAAAAGAAGACTTGTTTTATAGATTATATATTCCTTAACACTCTGGAGCCTTAAGTGAAAGATGAACAGCACAACTCACATGGAATTTAGGTTATTTCTGTTTTTCAGTGTGCTCGCTACATGGTAGGTATTCAAATCATTGCATTTCACTGAGCTTTTATATATTACTGGTAAAATGGGTATATTGAAAGTCTCTTGCTAGGTGTGGTGGCATACACCTGTAATCCTATTACTTGGGAGGCTGAGGCAGAAGGATCACTGTGAGTTCAAGACCAGCCTTGGGCTACATAGTTCAGAGTCAACCTGAACTACATATTGAGACCCCTGTCTCAAAATTAAAAAAAAAACTATCATGTAGAGATTCTTTCCTGCCATTGTGTTTCTCCAAATCTATGAACTGTCTTTTGTTTCACTGTTTTTACAATACTGAGGTTTAATCCAGGGCCTTCACACTGAGCTATAGCCCCAATTCTTATTTTTTTTATTTGAGAACAGGTCTTCTTAAATTACTAAATTGCCCAAGCACAGCTTGAGCTTGCTGTCCTCCTGCAGAGTGCTGGGATTACAGGCATGCACCACTATGCCCTGCTTTGCATGTTGCTTTTATGACTACTAGAGTCCCTATTGAATTTTTATAATGTGTTCTTCTCATGCCAGGCAGCCTGTCTGGTTCTAGGCAATTTGGAAGAGTCCAGGTTCTGGCCAGAGGATAGGGTAGACAGAGCCAGGTAAAGGTCTAGATCCGCCTCACCCTGCTCCCAAGTAGTTGCTTATTTGTATAGGTCTCCTTCACAGTAGGCTGACTGAGTAGACTTGTACTAAACACTGTCAAAGATCCTGAAATCGCTAGTGGTTTAGCCGATGGTCCTTCAACACAGGCTTAACTTTAATTTCCAGGGCACCATTTTGGACAGAGCAGGCTTTCTACTTATAAAGATAAAAATGAAACCAAGCCTGGCTTTAGTTGGGAGGCTGAGGTATTTAGCAGAGAGTCATTTCTCTCTAGGTGCATTTTTTTTTTCTCTGAAAAGATACAGGTTGGATTACTTCTAAATTCCTTTCAGGTCAAGACAGAAAAAAGTATGATTTTTTTTTCTTTGTGTTAGTTTTATATCATCTCTCTTCCCTTCCCCCCAAATCCGTTTCTTCATTGAACTTTGATTCTTGTTTTCAGTTCCTTATTGTTTTAAGCCTCCTACCTGTAATCAAGTGTGTTCAATCTGTTTGACTTAACAACGGTCAGGCCCATCTCTCAGGAATGTTGTAATGTGCCCTATGATCTCTCTGAAACCAGCTCAGTGCCATCTTATATCATTTCCATTCTTACAACTTTTAATTTAAGAACTTAATTTTTGGAAGTATTATTCATATTTTTTAGCTCAATTGGAACCCCTTGCTTTTATTCTTGATAACTCCTTTGAATTTCATCTTTACTAGATACCTGTCTGCTTTCTAATACCTGCAGATATGTTGGAGTACAAACCTTTGCCCTTGTGAGGTGTTGCAGTGACCACGTGTAGTTGCAAAATGGAGAAAGACATGGTTTGGAGTGGTTATTGCAGTGTGTTTAAATGTGAGCTCCCCCATTTACTAACAGTGTAACTGTAGGTGAATTATTAACCTCTCTGAGCTTCATATGACCTATTAGTGAGATGAAAATAATATCTGTCTCTTAGTAAGAGAAGCAGAACATAGTACCATAAATTACCATTTCTTTGTGTTTTATCTACGCTCTTTCTTTTGTTTGTTTGTTTTTTTGAGACAGGGTCTCACTAGGTAGTTGAGACTGACCTAAAACTCACTATGTAACCCAAGCTGGTCTCAAACTCACAGTGATCCTCCTGCCTCGGCCTCCCGAGTGCTGGGATTACAGGCTTGTGCCACCACACCCGGCTCTTCATCCTCTTTTTTATGATTACCTTTTTAACATCTAGCCTTTAGAGTCCCAGACTTGAGCCTGTGGCTCCTCAACCCAGCAAGATTACCACTTGTGGGCTCTCTGCTGTTGCTTTCTGCCCTGGCATCCAAAGAGAGTAAACGTTGTCACCTGGGGGAAATTGGATAAATGTAGATCTTTCCTATTTTGCTTTTCTTGTTTTCAGTCATGTCCTCTTCAGTTTCTGCCTGCTTTTGATTGGTTTTTAGTGCTTGCATACAGTTATTGTTTTAATGTCTTATCCAAAGTTGTTATACTTATCAGTGTGGAGGTTAGAACAATGTAAGCTATCCCACCATTACTAGACCAAGAATTGTCTTTAAGGTTATGCATTTGTTTAATAACAGAAATAGTTATAATGGAAGCAGGACCTGGTGTTTCAGATTTTATGTTACTTATATTGTTTGTTTGTTTTTGGTACCAGGGATCAAACTCAGGCCCTTGCGCTTGCTTGCAAGGCAGGCAGCAAAATCACTGAGCTAAATCCCTGGCCCTATATTACTTATGTTGAATTTAAATGATATTAGACTATCGAAATGCAAAACTCTTACAGAGAGAAATGTCAAACTAGAATAGAGGTGAGAGTTAAGGCTAAAGATTCAGGGTTGGAAAGCTAAATTTGCCCTTGGACTTGTAAAAGCCTCTACTTTAAGGCTTCCATAGAATCCTTTTATATTATTACTAGAAGGAACCTTTGATATCAGTAAAACACAGCATTTTTATAAATAATCAGTAACTACCTGTGACTGGATCTTTTGTCTGGCTCTGTAGTGCTGGAGATCAAACCCGGGGCCTCATGCATGCTGAGTAAGAGCTCTAGCACTTCATGATTGGGTCTTAAGGTCTATTTAGTGGATTGTAACCCGCATTTCTGAAAAATGATATAGAAATGAATAGAAAAACATTTCAGAATACATCTCCTGAAGTAAAAATAACCATGTATTAATTTTGTGTGTGTGTTACATTCACATACATATAAGCATTTTATAAATGTACGCACAGTCATAACGTGAAACATGGATCGTAGTAAAAAAAATGTTTGAAAAACACTCAGATGCAACCTACTTATTTAGGGAGTTTAGAGAAATTGAAATGTGTACCAAGGTAACTCAGCCAAGGACTGGATCAGGAAGAAACTCTGAGGCTGTCAGTGCCTGGATGGGTGCTTCTGTTGCATCACTGCAGTTGACGCCGGAGGCATAGCCGTGGAGCCGTTCTGTGTAACTGAATGTTGAAGAGCAGGAAGTGCTGTGTCAGAGGAGCCAGAGCAGGCTGCAGATGGAGGGGAGTAACAGACATACCACAGAGATGCAAGAGAGGACCTGTACCCCCGAGAGACCTGCCGTGGCAGGTGAGCAGGGACAGGAGAGCAGAGAAGTGGAACATGTTTCCGGAAGTTTAGGAGGGAAGTGGCGATAAGGACACTACAGCAACTCCCTAACAGTTTCAGCAGTAATTGCAGTGAGGTAGCAGAATCCCAGGAAAATCTTGTTTTGTTTTTCTCCTAAGATTGGAAAAACTCGCTTGGGATGTAGTTGAATAGTATGATATAGTACCTGCCTGGCATGTACACACTGGGTTCAGACCCTCTTTGCAAAAAAGAAAGGGAAAGGGAAGAGGAGGAGGAGGAAGGCAAAGAAGAAGAAGAGGAGGAGGAGGAGGAGGAGGAGGAGGAGGAGGAAGAGGAAGAAGAAGAAGAAGACTAGAAGAAAGGCACAGATTTGAAGGCACATTGACCATTACAAGTTCTCAGGAGCCTGACATTCACATTCCCTCCCTCCCTCCCTCCCTCCCTTGCTTTCTTTCTCTCTGTCTTTCTTTTTGGTGTTGTTGGTTTTTTGGTTTTTTGAGACAGAGTGTTGCTATGTGGTCCAGGTTGGCCTTGAACTTACTGTGTAGTCCAGGCTGGCCTCAAACTCAAGGCAGTCCTCCCCTCAGCCTCCAAAGTGCTGGGGTTACAGGTGTGTACCACTACACCCACCTCAAGAATTCTTTTCATTGCAAATATGTGAGCATGAAATCTTTGTAACAGAAGTTGATATGCAAACTTATACCAACAGGTAGATCCCACATCCTCTTTGAATGTAGCCAAATAGGTGTTTATTAACTGGTGCTTATACTTGGCACTATACCATGCTTTGGAGGTATCCAGAAAAGGCTACTGTGCCTCACACAAATAGGAGTGTACAGATCAGCTGAACAGATGAGATGTGAAAATATGAACAATTAAATAAAGTATATAAGGGGCCAGGGATTTAGCTCAGTGGTTCTACCACCTTCTTCACAAGCGCAAGGTACTAAGTTCGATCCCTGGTACCAAAAAAAAAAAGTATGTAAGTAAGTACAGAGTATAGACAGTGAAGGCTATGCATGATCAAAAGGGAGAGAATCAGCTATTAGAGAAGACTTCAGGGAAATAGATGTTTGAACTGGGCTAAAACTTAAAGGGAAAACAGAGTAGGCAAAGAGAATCAGGGAGAACATTCCTCGTAGGGGAAACATTATAAGAACAAAGATAAAGAGTTGTGGTGATAAAAATATGTGTGAAAGGTGATGAGAAATATATGGGGAAAGAACTGAACTACAGAAATCTTAGAAGCCAAATGGGCCCGAGGAGGAAGTCAGAGTCCATGTGTGCATGGTGAGTCACAGTACA